TACTCGTATATCCTCATTTGTACCATAAGAGGATTTTAAGTAGTATAGTCGCGTCATAGTCAGACGTGTTGTCAGGCAATGAATGATCAATATTTAACTTCAAAACGGATTCAAAGAAGATCTTAACTATAATAATACGCTATTAAAAGATCGTGAATTTCACGTTGAACAAGAATCAGTGGACGATGTGCAATCAATGCTCGTCTTAAATCACGACGCTGCGTGGTACAGTGTCCCGTTGCGAATTGAGAACGATACCGAAACGCGTTCAGAGCCGTCGATCTCGTGGAAGGAAACGGGGACATAATCGCATTTCATTTGCCGCGTGGGATCTTAGAAGAGGCATCGGGGCTATCTATTTCTGGCGGGCTATCCGTTATCTTGTATCGGAGATTGCCGCGCGGGGAATGCATCGCGGTGGCATGGCGGCACCCGTGCAGCGTGCACGCCAACGATTTAAGGGCTGCGGATGTGCAAGGAGAGCTATCCCGCGCATGAATTAGGTCGCCGATGCCATGCATGCAGGCCCAGCATTAATGTTCCCGGTAGTAACGGCACTTCGGTTAATTTCCCCGAGCGCCCACCAGCACCCGACCGCCACCAATCGTCCGGCCGTTTCATTTTGCGATCAGTCACGATCGATATCGGATCCGTTCTAGCAACTAATCTTTGTGAAATCACCTTAACTAGCTTATATTCGCTAAAGCGGTAATTAAGTTTTCACTTTGCATAACGACGACGTCTGATTCCAATCATAATTTGATTCTAAAGTCACAACGCGACTAACATTAGAGACAAAATTGTGATTGAAATGATGAAGTGAATTTGAAGTGAATGAATGAAAATAAAAGGCACGTTCAGCGTGCGTACACGACCGCGACCGGTGGTTGTTGACGCAGCCGAATAAAATCGATTTGCGAATACGCAACGGCGTTAAATCGATAAACTGATGCGATGGGGAACTTGGGTCCCCCACGCTAACGTGCAAATAATTGCATTACCGATCCTATGACGCGTAATACGCGATGAATGCCGGTGTATACCCAGGACACGCTAACGATATTGCCCTCACGTCCGTTCGCCGATCTATTTGCCTCGGGACACCGAAGCTGGACAACGGGAGCGACCCGACTCTCCGGCGTGTTTCCGCTTTTAACGAGGTTAATACCAGTCGCAGAGACCGTTTTCAGTCTCAATTGCACGGATGAGCGGGGGAAAAAAAAGGACGACGCTTTCATCCTCCCAAAATGCGATACGAATCCTCGTAGATAAATAGAGAAATACGTATTGCCAGTTTGTGTTCCGGATTTGATCAAAATACATTCTTATCTATGCGTGTGAGACTAACGTCCCACCTTTCGTCGACATTTTTCTAAGCAAACAGAATATTCTATGGGCTACAGGAAATTCTGAAGGGGAAGATCAAAGGAACAGCCGACGTAGTCGATAGGTCTTATTAATATTTCATGAAGTCTCCCTGTTTGTCGGTACAAATTTCGATGCGACCGAACGAATAATCGGCGTATAGAATATAAACCACCTTGCCCGCGTATGTAAATTTTCATACACATGCCAAATGGAGCATGGCAAACAACAAATCGAGCATGATGTTGTGCTTGTGAAAATCAAACGATCGATTGTGAAATTGTTAGGTTGGTAAATGTTAGTTTAATACCATGGAATTGCTGAATATTCCATATGGTTCTCTGTTAAAAAAATAACGAGAAAGTACATAATTACCAAACGGTAAACTGTTTCATAAAAGTCAACGTTTCCCCAATAATAATGAGCTCAATCAGCAGTATAGCTGTTGATCGTACTACGATATATAAATTATCATTCGCTTAATGATTTCTGATATCAAATGCATTTTCATCACATACCTCTTGAACTTTCCTGTGGACGGTGATCTTGTGCCACTGATTATCGTCGAACCGAACCCGAGCTGGTTTTATGTGTAGATCCAATCTCCCTTTGGCCAACGTCATCCCCACGGCCACCCCGCCGTCTCTCAGGGACACGATCAGATAGTCGTCACCCTTGCCTGCAACCAAACCACCAAAAGAGAACTGTTACATGGCAGTAAATTAAGACAGATCTGGATATAGACGTGGAATAGAAATTGAAAATCAGGAGGTGCACGAAGTGATCGATCTTAATTATAATTGAAAATATAAAAAAATGACTGGAACTTGTGAGATGACAGTATAAATAAGTGTGAACACGTATGATAAATGCATAAACCGCAGGTAAACAAATCCTCATCTCGAGAGCAACAAGGTATCCCTCCTATCTCTGATTTCTCATTACACGGTAACTTTACGCAGGCGGAAAGGGTAAAGGTCTCGAATGAGATTATAATTCCTGTTAATCCCGCTGTAAATGTAAGATACACACAGCACCGCGAACGTGGATTAAATCCCGCGTGGCTCGGGCATAATTATAGAGAGGCTACCGGATGGTCGGCCGCGGAACCCTTTAGCTGAAAACAATAAAAATAAAGTGTCGTTTGCCGCGTCTTAATCCCTCTGCGCGTAACGAGCTCGCCGATACACCGGTATAATCCGCGAGGGCTTTTCAGTTCGTTCGCTGCGATAATTATTAACGGTGAACATCTACCCTGTTACGGTCGAAACGGGCGAATGAAAACCGACGAAACTAATGGTAAGCGGATACAAACAATTTATGCGCGTCGCCTCGTTTCAACCTCTAATCCAATACGAGCTCGATTGCCGGCGAAATCGCGAGAAGCTTGACGGGGCTTTTCCGAACCTCTCCATTCCCTTCATTCCAACCGTGGAAACGGTATTATTTTTATCGAGACTGACTTAAAAACGGAATTTTACTATCAAATAAAACATTAAAAATATTCAAGGGATTAACTCGTCTGATCATACTGCATTATGCATCAATAATTAATTAAAAGTGATAATAAGTGTCACAAAAATTTAATTAAACAATTACTCGTGGTATTCAATCTCATAAGCAAATTGTTGAATAATCCGGGTTTAAATTACATTTAAATTAATGAAATAACGTTACAGATTGGCCGTATTATACATATGTATTTAATGAAACAGTTAATATCGGTTATCTGTGTCACGCGCAATCGTGTATAGAAATTGATATTACAATGATAATCGATATAGATAACATTATGAAACTTGTTAAATATTGATCAAATAAAAATCAGTATTGACGAATCGTGCAACACACGTAGCCAAGAATTATAATAGCAATCGAAATGAACTTCATTGTACCAAATCCTTTCTGCACGGTTGTTCTTGCGTAATGGTAGAAAAATTAACATTTCAAACATTCGTTTCTATGTAGAGACTAAATGTCTATCTGTATTAGAGTATTAAATATACAAAGGATCTATTGTTGAGTACAACGGTTGTTCAGACCACCATTTTCTCTCTCAAAATATTGAAATTCAATATCCTATTCCCTTTTAGCAGAAATACCCAATATGTTCCAAATGTGGAACGTATTATTTAGTCATGTTAATCCACTTATGTCTGTCTTTTCAGTTTTACTCTGTGATCATGATTCTATTTGAAATCATTGTTAAATGCACAATGCGCATAAATCTTAAAACGAAAATTCTTGAAATAGGACGATTTATTAGATATTATTATTCGTCTCGTTATTATTCTAGAAGTAACAAGAATTTTTGCAATAAAAAGATAAACGCCGAAACAACGTCTATAGAACAGAATCGTTTTGTTTCTTTCTTACCTAATTCAGAACGCCATTCTTTCGAAACATTGCGCGGTCATAGCTGATATACTCTCCCGGTGGTGCGATATTTGCATTTAAACCGTGACCGCACGCTAATTATTCTGGAGTTAAGGCGTATAAAAAATGCAGACAGCAGCGTACACTTAATTGCAGCGACGAATTTGCATATGCCTAACTGCGTCACGCGTGCATTGTCCTATTTCGTTTCGCCGAGGGAAAACAAGTATTTCTCTCTCGCGACCCGTGATGAAAAGATACTTGAAAACGTGCTAGATAACGAATTACCAGAGAAAGTCTTTTATTTTAATTTGAAATATTTGGAACGAAACAAATAGTACTCCATTAAAGAAAGTAGTATAGACAATTAGATGAATTTGATTTAATAAATTTACAATTAATGACTTGATTTCTGGTTCTCAACAAATGCGATTTTTCTATACATTTTATAAGATAATGTTAGATTGTAGAATGTATGTTAACAAGGAAAATGATTAGCTATAGTATTTAGGTAGAACACACATGCAACTAAAATGGCTGTGCATGTTCTCGAAAATGAAATCACTAACAATTAGTTTTATTACACACAGTGAATTACTTCATGTTATTACAAAAGTCATGTAAATAAAAAACTAAATAATTAAATTACGGACACTGAAGCAATATTGGCAAAAGGAATTTAATGGAATGTCATGCGATCAAATTTCAATCACGCTGTAACAAAATAAAAATAGTGCAAACAATGAAAATGTATGTGATACGATAAACGATGAAACGATATAGATTTTTTATTTAATTTCACGTGTAAAAATAAAAACCATGCATTCGTTTTTAGTTGGATACTTTATTTTTACACTCTTTTTGCAATATCTGTAAAATACCGAATTGATTGAGTTTTATGTATCACTCGATGCTATTGAAACCTTCAATACGATTACTGTTTTATTCTCTGCGAATTCTGTAAAAATATAGGAAAACCACCGAGGAGAGATTACTAAAGAATGGCAGCTTTATGGGGTTCTATGTCGCACTAAAAAGTCTGTAACTTTTTACACCCTTTATAATATATTACCACCGAAGTAAGAAATAGAAAGTAAAACTAGTTAGTCTATTTAGAATCGTAGAAAATTCGTTCGCTAGCGTCAATAATTAATTAATAAATAAAATTGTTTATTGCAAAAACTTTTTTTCGTCCTAGCAAAAAATGTTTCAGAAAAAAGTTATACCTCAAGTCTAGTCTATGAATGATCGTGAAAATTTAAAATTAAAGAAATGTGTATTGCGTTCTTAACGCCAAGAGAAGTTTGCTGATACGCAGAAACTATCACAGTAGAACAATCAAACTTATCTATATTTAGTTTATCAGAAAATATAACAGAACTGAGTTCTTAGTGTGGGACGTTCATGTACTGCAGTGAAATTATATTATATCACATTTGTAACTTAGAGAATTGGAAATTATTGTCTCTAAGAAAGTTGTGTACAGGAGAACACGTACTTTCAGTTTATCTCGCACACCACGCCGTCGTGTATACTATTCAAGCAAAACTATGAAAAATGGTATCACAGGAAACTATGAAAGACGATATCGCGCGAAAGATTTTACGAGGATTGCTTACTACCAACGATACCTCCATGACTTCTAAATTTTATCGAACAAGCTGAAATAAACGCTTCCATCGACTCACTCATAAATGATAAAAAATTATATTCATGTTCCATACCGAAATGATTGCTTTTTCTCTCGGTCTCAAAGATTTCGTTCAAAACGCCACTGGTATCCTCGGCTCCGAAATTGTATAAATATTTTATCATTCTGTAATTGTGGAAAATTCGCATCAAAATATTTCAATCGATCTAAAAACCCTGTACACGTACGTTCAAAATAATTCAACGGTACAGAGGTCGAAGGAGTAAGGTTGTAATTCACGAGACGCTGTTCCCTCAAAACGAACGTGATAAAAATCGCGTTTTATGGCTGAGCTAGGGCAACCCTTTGTGATAACCGGGCCGCGCACTAAACTAGCCACCCGGAACTCGCATACCCGTTGCAAGGGCAGATTAATACAAAAGATATTAGGTAGAAGTAGAAATTGGCTGATAAGTATCGCTGGGTAAGAAGAAAATGTAGTATCTGGTGCATCGAGGGGAAGCAGGGCGAGAGAGCGCAAGAGGAGACTGCGGCACCGTGAACTCAAAACCCCTGTGCACGTACACCTTCGAACAAGTGTGTTCCGCAATGCTGTAACACGCATCTACACCTACACGCGGCTGGCCATCCGCGGCAGCCACTTACACAGCCGTGTTTATTCATCCATACACGGTGCACGTTCTACTTTGCCGCGTTGGGTCGCATCTCCGCGGCACCAGTGGCCTCTGCCCGCTCATTTGTTCCACCAGATAAGCTATACCGATGGTCAGCCGCTTAAATTATGCACATTTTTGTCGGGCGCACGGGACCACGGGTCGGGACGCGTTCCCGTTACCGATTTTTGTTCCGAGAGTTCGCGCAGCACGCGCCGACCATAAGTTTGCGACAACGCGAACCAATTGTTTTACTCTTGTTGCGTTCGCCCCCTCCTGGCAAATGAGCTTGCCGAGCTAATTTGTACGTTTTCAAGTTCCCGTGAACTTTTCTACCCGGAATTAAGAGAAACCGATAGAGTGGATAAAAACAAGTAATAAATAAATATTTCATGCAGGAAGTTTAAAAAGAGTATTAATGTGTGGGGAATTAAACGTACTAAAAATTGCAATTTTACTTCGCGTGTTAATTTAAAAGCTACTATATAGATTTTAGAAAATTAATTACATTTAAATACATTTGAGAAGCCTCTACCTTCATTTAAATCGTAGGATATACAGTATGTATGTACAGCTGAAGCTACATAATCCTGTAGTGTTCCCTACGACCTTTTCAAACGTCGTATCGATTCGCGTGAATCTTTCAAGCGACAAACTCCCTTTTACACGGATTCGCATAAGTTAGTGCTTCGGAACGGCACACACGTCTCGCATTCTTTCCACTCTTATTTTCTCAGCCTGTCCTACTTGCGTCTCTCATCCAGCTCTTACTTCTCCGGCAGCGTGGCCGATTCAACCTCGTGACCTCGCCGCGTCGCGGCTACTCCTCCGCATTGTTTCCGTCTTCGTTAAATACGCCTGCGTCGAAATTGTTTCGCGAACACGCTGCGGATTTTTCGGACGCGCGCTACCCCGCGCAACGCCGCGAGCTACTGTCTGTTTGACGACTCACCGTTATTTCCAGCACGATTGCAAGGTATAGGAAAAGAAAAATATTTGCCGAGAAAGAATTTCTTAAGTAGGTTAAGAATTCCCGCTGCTGGAAATTCTTTGCTTTATTAAGCTGTTGATAAATAAAACGGCTATAAAGTTGTAAAAGTGCCAGCAGCGTACCGGGTTGATCCTAATTGCAATTATCGTAATCTCTATTTCTTTCTGTTCCCCAGTGCACTGATCGCGATCAACCCTCTTTCAAAGCGCCGCCGGTAACGAGGTACGGAAGATCACGTGTGAGATATTACATTCGGCGCGGTTGGATCCAGTCTACTGGAACGAAAATCCTAGCGATACGATTGGGGGAGGAAGCCGATACGTTATTAGAAAGCGGGAGATTCCTCTGAGAATGATGTCAATAATTGCGGATTTCTAATTATCGGCAATGGGAGCCTCGGATATTACTTGCGGCATCTACGTGACAGCAACAGGATCTAACTGCCACGACTCATCGATCTTTGAGATCAATGTAATAATCTCACATGTACGTACGTAACCATGTAGACCCTTCACACAGACGAGATGAAGAGGACAGCTAATCAATTTGTACGTTAGATATGTTAGAGATTATTCTATCGAAGTTTACTCATTAATTAGACTATGAATAAATACATTTAGGATAATGTGTCGTTAATATGTAAATGAAAAGCAGAAACTGTATAGAATAGTTTTGTTAATGAACTTACCAGAATAGAACAGAAGTCCATTCGGCTGTCTGGTCTTAAATTGCAAACTGAGGGACTCTTGGGTGCTCAGAATCGGTTTCCCTACGGTCAGATCTATCGTGAGGTATTCCGTTCCCCTGAACGATGCTTCGAAAGGTGCTTTATCTGTAACAAGATAATAAATTCACAATTAGTTGAAAAATCAATAAAACAAGCAAATTACATATAAATACATATGAATAAAAAATACATATGTGCTAAACAAATGTATATTATTATGTGTAATATCTTGTGTCATTTAATAAGTGGACAACATTTTTTGGAAATAATCAAATTACTCAAAAATAAATTAAATACTCTAATAAAAATTGTATTCAATCTACCATCGATAAATAGTCAATTACGACCACATGGAATTTGTTTTAACTAGCAACGGGACCGTTAAGTGCTACAAAGGAAACAAAAACATGCTCTTAAAAAAAAATTCACAAAGGGCCAACGAAGTCGCGTCCGCTTGAACTTCAACTTAATTAAAACCAACGAGCGGAACACAAGTGCGCGCCATGACGCGTTTTTCCTTCTATCTCTCTCGTTTTGTTTTTTTTATTTCAATACTAGCTAGCTTTTTAATTCACTCTCGAGACGTCTGATCTCGTGGCGAGATACGCGTCCGGTGGGACTCTTCTCATTATTTTCCATCTTCCCATTGTTATCGCGCGGGCAAACAAAAGTGCACCGACGCCAAGGCCAGGCAAAAAGCTCGTAAGATGGTCTTTAATAGCCCCTGGCCGCGTGCCAAATCGCGCCGCTTCGGACTGCGCCCCGGACAACCCCGGCGCCGATTGAAATGTTCATTACCACTGCAAATCATCCGACGGGACCGCAACCGCTGTGGGATGTTCTCGGTTAGGGTACCGACTAGCGAGAACTTAAGAGCTAATGGTGTACGAATGATTTAAGCGAGGAGGATCTTGAATTGTGGGAAAGAAAATGGGGAAGTAATTCCTGAAATTGTAAGAATGTGTCAGAAGAACGTTCGGAATTTTAAAATAGATGATTAAAATCGAATGAAAATTCTGTATCGAATAAAAATAATTACAGGCTTCAAAGAGACTGAAATAAAATGTGAACTGAATTACGTTACGCTTTTACGATATGACGTGATTTCATTTTTATACTTGATGTAATTAAAAAGAAAATATTCATTTATCAGAGTACAGCGAATTGCGCAACAGTCAATTCAAAAAATTATTCTCACATCGTTACCATAATTGCTCGTTACTCCGCATCATTCGTCCGGCTCGACGTAAATCTTGACGTCAGTTGAACTGTTAATTAACACAGCTCTCGTTTGCCAATTTATTAATGTGTACCGTCAATGAAATCGTACCATTCATGACTATATCGTGATGGCAATTTTAAATCAATCAAGGACGTGTCTTTTAAATAATTTTAACAGTTCGTTTCCTTTTATTTAAAAAATATTTCATGTTTTATGCATAATAAAAGTCTCGTTTACGAGATTGAAACACAGTGGACAGTGTAGACTAAAAAAACTGTCTGTAGGTAGCAAGAGTCGACTCTTAGTCGAAAGTATTCCACTTAATAGCGCTATATTGTTCACTTGCACGTCCCCCCGGTTGTCCTGGTCGTTTCAATCTTCATGAGAGACGAGACAAGACCCGGCGTCGGTATCAAGAGGATCGTCGAGCTGTTTGCGATTGTGGCGGTGTGTCTAGCTCGCGAAGAAAGACACTTTCACGGATGGAAAAGCTTGGCCGCCCGACGAAGGATCGCCCCCCGCGTTTCCTGTTTCCCGTAACGACGACGGGGCAGGGAACGTGGGACGACCGAGCGAGCACCGATCTCCTCTTCTTCCTCCTTTTTTCTTTTCTTGCTCAAAGCGAGGTCACGCGCGCGAAGGTGTCATTAGCCACGTCGAAGGGTAAAATCCTCGGCGATCCTCTTTCCGCCTGGCTCGTTCGTCTTTGTCCGTTTGTTCACGCTGCGCTGAACAGCCTCGGAAGAAAAGCGGCGAACGGGTAAATGAAACGACGCCGGGGATCTAATCCTGTTAAGCGAAAGCGGTTTGCATCGACTTCGTTCAACGGAGAGAAAAAAAAAAGAGTTCGCCGGAGAAAAAAGAAGACAACGGCTTTGATGTCGCCCGGTTGTGATCTGAGTCCTCCTTGGGTCTGACGCTGGGTTTCTTTTTAAGATCGCCTGCGTCGGCGGAAGTTAATCCTAGCTCTTCAAAACAGGACATTTACCAAACATTATAAATAATTACACTTTCTTTTTTTCAACAGCAAAATAAGTTTATTTTTTACGGAGGGACTCATCGTTCGCCCAAACACCTACGGCTTGCGCGCAGAATTATTAATGCGGCCGTCCATAAAATCCACGACACGATTTCATGATAACGTCAGAACGAATGAATCGTTCCTCATTAAAACTCGCACTGAAAAGCTCAATTTATCAGAAAGACTACGGCGAGGCCCTCGGCATTAAACGCGGCTCACGCTAGTACGATTTACGCCCGGCACGGTTTTTCATTCATTGGACACGGGAGTGGCCGGAAGCGAAGTTTTCAGCACGCGATACCTAGGGGGAAAAGTCGAGCGACGATCGGCGCCGCAGCGAGGAGCGAACGCCTGCATATCTCGAGACCGGACTGCTGAAGCTCGTCGACTTCGACTAATTGTGAAACACGCCCTCGAAGCAACGCGACCGGCGTTGAATTATGAAGAAACTTCGACACTCATTTCCCCCGCGAATTTCTTTTCCCGCGATTTATGGGATATCGGTTACCTGGTTCCGCGCGAACCGACCCCTCGATCATCCAGGGGGTTAATTCGCCCGTCGTAATTGCGCGCGAGATAAATGCCACCGTTTCTCCAGATCTCATACCGACTGCCGGGAGAGCGTGTGATTCATGCGCGATGCAAAATATATTTTCAAGTTAGTTCGTAGCTTGTTCAAATTCTTAATAAACAATATAACAACTGATATCCAATTTTAGTAATAATATTAGTTATAGTTGAAGGTATAATAATTATATGATAGAAATGTAACATGAGAAATGTAATATGAAAAACAATTAATGAAATATCGCTTAGGCCATGATCCATCGACTTTGATCGTTCGATTTTCAATTTCCAGCGGCGAACGTCAGCAGCGTGTAATTAACGCGGTCGACTGCACGCGACGTTTTAATATAAGCCGCTTACTCGCCTATTGAATATTTTGGACGGATATCAAGGGCATCTTCTTAATACAATTACCGTGAATCTAAGTAGGAAATCATGGATTTTCGATTCGATTCCGGAAATTAATAATTGAATAATTCCAATAAGAATTGGAAATATGTCGGATAAGATTACATTATAATTTAAAGTTGATCTGATAATAAAAATGGAATTGGGTGAAAAGGAAGAGAGCGAAACAGTAATATTTTACTGGATTGATATAGTTAATCAACTTATTTCTGATTTATAAAGATGATAAGATAGGATACCTATAAAAGATGAGGACGAAACAGAAATTAGAGTACATATCTATAAGAAATTGGATCAATCTAATCCCATGAACTAAGAACAGTACACCGACATGTACTTTACGTTTTAAATATTGTTATACGGTTATGGCAAGAAAGAGAGGATTACTGATCGGATTGGCAACGAACGGGCCAAACACCCTAAAACTATTATGCAGAGCAACGCACGGTACACACGCCATTATTAATCTGTATTAATCGACGACCATTCATTAGGAAGTCAGCGATGGGTGGCCCTTCTCAGAAGGGGATGTTCACGGTATGTAGTAGTTCCGCACCTGGCGCACTCCCACGATCAATCGCTATCCCCGTCCCCCTTTTACCGTAAATCTCTTCGGCTAAACTCCGTCGCTGCAGCCGTGGAAGACAATGGCCAAGTAAGCTCGAACGGCAGCGAAACGGCACGTATACGTTCGAGAAAGCAATTAACGAAATACGAGCAGCCCGTTTTACACCCGTCGACCTCGCGCCTCGTTCGCTCCTTTATGAATATTTATTCAATGTAGGCGTTTCAATAGGCTTATGAAAGGAGAGCTAGGAGATTCGAAACGATTCACGAATCTTTGTGTGCTCCTTGAGATAGGTACACAAAAGCGTTGTTCCAAATGAAGTGTTACAAAGTCCTTGAGTCCTTTTGTAAGGATTTTGATTCACCAATTAAATTGCGAAGATTGTACAAAAATTGTATCTCTACTTCCGTATAAATTCTCGTTCGGAAATATTAGAATTAAATATTACACATGGACGCGGCCGTGGGAATGAATCGCGTCGCAGAACGTAATTTACGAAACTGGCGTGGCGTCGAGAAACTCTTTTATCCCGCGGAACGACGACGACGCTCGGCCGCGCGACCGAGAAGTCGCCGGGTGATTTTAATAAATTCTTACGGCTCCGGGAGACGATAAAAGTGGCATTAACGGTGTCGTTCGATCTCATCTCCGACCGTGTTCGTTGTCCTCGTCGCCGTCCACGCGGGATTAGCCGAGTAATCTCTCGAAGAGCCTCGAGCACGAGTAGGAGTAACGAGTTCCCGGGAGGAACGAAGACCTTTTCTCATCTTGCAAGTCGTGCTTCTCCGCCACGTTCTTTACTTCCTCCTTCTCTATTTCTATTTCACTTTCCTCTTCTTTTTTCTTCGCTCCCGAGCACGTGCAAAGAGAAAAGAGAATTCTCAGCTCTCTTGTTGTCTTCCTATTTCTTATTTCTTCGTTATCGACTGCATCCTCTTTTAAATGGGAAGATGGCTCTCTGTCTTTCAGGAGGGAGCAGACCGGAAGCCAGTAAAGCATTTCCTTGATGGAAGCCTGATTCCAGTATACGAGCGGTTAAACGGTCGACGTTCGCCGAGGATAATCGCGAATTTCGATAAATATTTAAACCTCCCTTAAGAAGTTCCGTCATTCTCGGCCGTTTACCATGGAAATCAGGAGAATGTGAACAGGTGAAGAACCATATAACACTGCTTTCTCCCATACAACAAGTATTTCAATTAAAACTTGTGAGATTAATACTTGCTCTTCAACTTTCCACACACGACTGCTTTTAGTGCCAATAAAAATAAAAGAACCATAAATTATTAAATCAATGAACGAGAATCAGTAAAGCCATA